TGTCCCGATGGAGAAAACATGGAGGCTTCTTGGTAGTTGTCTCTGGCCCTTAACAAACACCTGCAGGTGGGTGGATGGTTATATGATTTTTCATTGTCATCATTGTCATTGTTCGGAAAGGTGCAAACGGGCTCTTCATTTAAGATTATGGGCAGTTATTAACCCCTCTGGTCCATCAATGTTTTTTTGACTTTTAGGCTGAGGGGTGAAAACTGGTCCAAATTCATTTAGTTGATCTCCAGGCCTAAAGGAGTATTTACGCTGCAGGAACTGTTACCTCCATGCATACTAGTGTATACTTGATTTGATTTTTCCACATTATCGCAAGGTCACAAAGCAGGGGTTGCAGCAGTACTATACTCTTTCTTGCAATTGAGAATTCCACTTCTACCCGACACTGCCAGAAAGAGTGTGCCTAGAAAGCCCTCTGAGGTAGCAGACCTGGGAGGTGTTGCAACTTCAGTTTCTCCATCATGTATCGAAACGTTCCCACTTCGGGATGATCTGAACGCGCCATTCTTCTTTTGCTATAGAGAGAGGCAGGACTTACATGTGTAGATTTAGAAGATGTGCTGTAAATCCATGGCGCCCTACAGTTAACTCTTCCTTTGCTTTGTTATAGATGAGTCTTTTTACCAGTTTTGCTTTTTATTGTGTGGACTCTCAGAGGTTTCCCCCCTAAATGAAGGACCTGTTAACAGAATAACAGAGTTGGAAGGGACCTTGGAGATCTTCTTGTCCAACCCTCTGCTCAGACAAATGGCTGTCCAATCTCTTCTTAAAAACCTCCAATGTTGGAGCACCCAAAATTTCTGAAGGCAAATTGTTCCACTGATGAATTGTTCTCACTGTGAGGAAGTTTTACCTTAGTTCTAGGTTGGTTCTCTCCTTGATTAGTTTCCATCCATTGCTTCTTGTCCTGCCTTCAGGTGCTTTGGAGAATGAGTTGACCCCTCTTTTTGTGGCAGCCCCTTAGAGATTGGAATGCTGCTATCATTTCATCCCTAGTCCTTCTCTTCATTAAACTAGATACACCTGTTGTTGCATTCCTTCCTCCACATGTAAGGTATTCCCTACCTGGTTGTCAGGCTTCTAGTTGTGCATTTCTGTGCAAAGATATTTCATTGCATAGGTCAGGTCCTTCCGCTCATATATGACCTTATTTTTCTCTTTTATTCACATGCTATTCAACCAGTCATACTCTCTTGGCCTTAGGAAACAGGTGATGGCCAACATCTTCTGAAATCTTGGCAAGAAAGCTGCAGGGAATTGTCGAGGCAGTTGCCTGGAGTAAACAAAGACTTGAAAAAACAAACAAAAAATCACAGAGATGATCTATATGGTTGCTAGGAGTCAAAATCACTTCATAGCACATAATCACTCAATTGGTACATGTGTGACTCCTGCTAAACTCATGTATAAGCTCTAAGAAGTTCAGAATGGTCTCTGTGCATGTATGTGCAAATGATTCCTTGGGAAGAGCTGCATCTCCGTGTTAATGGCCAGTTCTTCAACAAAAATTGAGGGTGGCCTTCTTTATTTTAGCTGTTTGCACATTTTGTGGGACCATCTCCCGTGAAAACAGTCTCAGCTTACTTGTGTGTTCATTTCATGCAGGAGACAAAGATGATTGTTGTCTGTTTTCTTAAATATAATAAAATCTATATGTTGAAATAGCTGACTTGTTCTTCCTGCCTACATCTCTGCTTCACCAGATGGGGGTTTCAAGCAAACAGATTCCCCCACCCACACTGATTCTGTAATACGTTTGGGCCAGCTACAGTCCTGCTCCAAGTGCAATAGCAGAAGATGTTGTGGTGTTTCAGTGCTTTGTTTGGTGAATTTGTAGTACATTTTCAGGGAGGAGACGGGGAGTGATGGAATAGCAAAATTCCCCTCTCTCCTCTCTCTTTGTCTCAGCAACTGGGCTTTCTGAGAAATACTTCTCCTGGCATAATCAGTAAAAAACAACAACACAAGAGCAAATACAGCAATTACTGAAACAAAAGACAGATGGAGATAGACAAGCCCACTCAAAAGAAGGGGATGATATTTTTATTCTAGGACAAGGAAGAGAGGTAAATGCAAGTGAAAAGAATGTAAACCTTATTTTTATAAAGGGTCAGAAAAGGACGGGAGGGAAATAACCACCTAGCTAGAGAACCAGCACCAAGGGCCGTGGGAAACCCCTCAGAAGGACCCTTGGGGGGAAAGGGGCTTTCAGACCTGCCTGCCAGAGGCTGTGGATGCAAGCTCACCTTGCTGGCCGGTGCTTCTTCCCTGGGCTGCCTCTGAGGGCTGACTGGTAGTTTCCTTGCTCCCTGGAGGGTGCAGTGGGACCCTTCTCACTTGGCGGCTTTCTCCTGACCAGACAACATAGACATGCTAGAGACAGGGTGCCTGTTTATTTTTCCTTGGTTTAAATTTAAAATTTTAGATGGTGAGAGAATGAATTCTGATTAAAGTGGCTGAGCAGCGCCCCCTCCTCCGTCCTCTCCTCATTCTTGAGGGTAGCACGTAGCTGTCTCTCGATTCAGAATGTGGGACCGGCAATGCACAACGGTCAGTTTTGTGTTCTCTGTGAGGCTGTTTCAACAGTGGTCTTGCTCTTTTTAAAGGGGGGGGGGCTGTGCTCTATTTGGAATGGTTCTTGTAAAAGGAAGTCAGAGGTCAGGAATGACGTAAATCTCCTCTGGTTTGTTCTGGTTGAGGCCCTGCAGGTGAGGACTTCTGGTTAGAACCACGCTTCTTTCTGTGTTTGTTGGGTGGCCGTTCCAGCTGTTGGGCTCCTTTGTAGCCTCTCCAAAGACAACAGTGTTGACATGGATGACCTGATCATTCCTAGTTTGGGGGTGGGGGGAAATGGGGGGGCAGCAGGGGCTGTGCTGATTGGGAGAAAAAAGTTGTGATGCAGCATCTTGGGTGGACAGCAACTTGTGGAGGGAGAGAGTTGCATCTCCCCAGGGTTTCCAGGAAGCCACGAAGCAGAGGTGTGAGAGGGTCCGCATTACAAAGATTCCAAGGTGCTGCTGAAGTGGAGACCCCCTTCTGGCACAGAAATTGGGGTGGGCAGAGAGTTCCACCCCTGCTGGACTTCCCTGGGTGGGTCGGAGAGCTGGGCTGCTGTTTTAAGATCAGCAGTTGACGGGCAGATCATCAGCAGATCATCAGATCATCAGTCAGGGCGGGCAGATCCAAGGCTGGGGGCGAGAGAGCGCGTTGGAGAGCCCTTCGGGGGCAGGCGTGGAGGGGGGAGCGCTTCCTCCTGCTGCCAAGAAACTGCCTAGACGTGCCGTGAATCGGAGGCTCGGCTCGGCTGAAGGAAATCTGGCTGGTTTGCGCTTCTTTTCAAGGACCTTCACACTCTGATTTTCCCTGCCTGCCCATTTTAATAGTGTAAAGAATACTAAAGTCTTTTGCAACAAAATGGAATTATGGCATCCTCTAACTTCTTTTGTCTATGGATGCTGCCCAGAGCTTGGCTTTCCTCTTTTGTGTTTGAGAATTCTTATTCAGTCCCTTTCAAAAGGCAGCGCACGGCCCCACTTCGCCCGAGGGGAGGGAGGGAGGGAGGGAGGCTGGCACCAGGCGTGGCTCTTCCAGGACAGCTTGCTTTGCGGCTCTCAGGCTAGACCAAGCCAGCCTCCTAGAGAGAGGGACACACACACACACACACACACCTTTGTGTACATATGACTCATTCCTTTTTAACGTAAGCAACTTTGTGTGGAGACTAGAAAAGAAGTGAAAAATGGTAAACCAAATAAATAAATAATAATTGTGAGTTTTAGTCCTGCCTTAGGCATGAAAGCTGGTTAGGTGAATTTGGGCCAGTCTGTCTCTCTCAGGCCAGTCCACCTCTCAGGGCTGTTGTGGGGAAAGCTATAGGAGGAAGAAGAGATTAGGTGGATATGCCGCCTCGAGTTACTTTAATAAAATTAAAGGCTATATTATACTGTACCTAGTAGAAGTAGTCCTTGCTTACCGACCATTCATTCAGCAATCGTTCGGGTGGTTTACAATATAGAAGCATTATTGTTGCCCCCAATAATCTGGGTCCTCATTTTCCCGACCATGAAAGGATGGAGAGCTAAGTTAAACTTGAGCCCTGTCAGGATTGAGCTCCTGCCTGTGGGCAGTTTGGCCCGCAATGTTGCATTCTAACCTCTGCACCACCAGCGCTTGCTTGTTGCTTGCTTGCTTGCTTGTTTGTATGCTTGTTTGTTGGTTTCACATGCCCCCATCTTACTATTGAAGCAACTGGGTGGCTGCTTGTGGGGGAAATTGCAGGTGCTCTTGCCCAGTGGCCTGTCTGCGGGAGTTGGCCTGGAGAGGAGGGGAGCCACAGGCTCAGGCCCTTCCCGAAGAAGAGAGAGTGGCTCTGGGTGTAGGTGGGCCAGCGTGTCTGCCAGTGGAGTTGTGCTTCAAGGTGGGCTGGCAGTGGGTGAGTCCGCAGAGGAGCAGGGAAGCTGTGGGGAGGACAGTGTGTGGGGGGGTGCTGCACTGGTCGCCTCTGTTTTGAAGACTGCAGGCCCAGAAAAAGCGGCCTGGGTACGGCTCAGGGCTGGTTCTCAGTGGGTTGCCTTTCCCACTGGATTCTGCCCATTGAAGGAGGAAGTCGGTCTGTGGGGTGTGTGTGTGTGTGTGTGATGCCTCCTATGGAGCAGCCATAAGCTCTTGTTTTAGTTGAGCATCAGGCTCTGTCGAGGGCCACTCTCATTTGGACGGAGGTGGCAGCGAAATCGGGAAACTCACATGAGGCCGTGGTGCCCATCTGCCACGCAAGCCCACCCTGCTCCTGCCGCCTTCCTGCGGCGTCCTTAGTTCCAGAAGAGAGCAGGGGCAGACGGCCCTCACCTAACCCTGACCAGCCATTGTCAGGGCATTCCTCGCCATTGTCCACAATCGATGAAGCGCGAGTGGAGATTCACCCAGGTGGCCCATTTCTGTGGCAGAGCAAGAGAAAGTAGAAGCGATTCCGGGCAGTGCTGTCATCGCGTGATGCCCTCAAATTCTAGGGTCTGCTCTACTAAGAAAGGTTAATTCTGACTAATTGAGAGCTTTCAGAATTTACCTTGATCTGTTTATTCTGCTGCTGCTCTTTTTACTCTTGTGCATGATTTATGCCAGTCACACTAAACTTGGGGAGTGGCAAATAACTATGCAGAATACTGGAGCTCCACATCCAGGCCTGGGAAGATGTAATTAACTCTCTCTCTCTCTTTCTCTCCCACACACGAATGCACACCTGTCTCATTTACCTGCTTATGCATTTCAGTGTTCTCCCCTGACTTTCCATCTCCCCCGCTTCCATGTTCATACATTCATACATTCAGGGTGCACCAAAAGTCAGGCCCCCCCAGAGAACATATGATACGAATAACATGAAATGCTCCAATTGGTTGCCATTTTCTTCCAAACACTTCCTTACTCCTAAGTACAGTAATATTTTCTCTCAAAATACTAAAATGAATAAAACTTTGGGGCCTGATTGATGGTACCCCCTGCAGTCAATCAACCATCAATCAATCAAATCCCTCCTTAGGCATGAAGCCAGCCAGATGACCTTGGGCCAGTCACTTCTCTCAGCCCTGAAAAAAAGGAGGAGGCAGGAGGAGCCCCTTCTGAAAAATACCACCGGCAAGAAAATGGCAGGGACTGGTCCAGGCACTTGTCAGGAATCAAGACTGACACGAAGGTGCGTGGGCACATGGTGCGCAGACACACAGACCCCTGTTTAAAATAGGGCCTTGTAAATAGACCCCCTCTTGACTCTTTTCTTAAAGGTCTAGGGCAGTGATGGCGAACCATTTAGAGACCGAGTGCCCAAATTGCAACCCAAAATCCACTTATGTATCGTCGGGTGCCAGGTGGGCGTGTCCCATTGGGTGGGCGTGTCCCATTGGGTGGGTGTGGCTTCAGTGGTAAATGGGTGGGACTAAGAAGTTCAATCAATTCTAACTTTGCAAGATCTTTTTTTTCCGTGAGAAGTTGAAATTGATTGATTGATTGAGCTTTTTTTTTGTATGCGGCGGCGGAGGAGGCCTAAAGCGAAAAGGTTTTATAAAACCGAGCTGAAGGCCTAGGACTGGGGTGACGGCGCACTTGCCCACAAAGAGGGCTCTGCGTGCCACCTGGGGCACGCGTGCCGTAGGTTCGCCACCACAGGTCTAGGGAGTTGAGGCTAAGAAGCTCCCCAGCCCTTCCAAAAGGCAAGGAAAGACCCTCCCAGTCAGCAGCCAGGGATGCTTCGGGCCTGGGAGGGGCCAGGAGCAGTTGGTCCCCCATGCAGATTTTGCACCCCAGAGGTTGGGCCATCTAAATGTGTATTAGTTCTCAGCCACGTGGTCTCGGGTTGTACCAGCTGAAGCTCTTGGATACCACCCGGGGTTTCTTCGCTCCTGGTACTACTTGGGATTTGGGCAGTATTCATGAAGAGGCAATCAGATGAGAGTTGTGAGGGTAAAGAAGGCAGGTTGTTGGGGTATCAGGTGTTTGACCCGTCAGGCTGTTCCCTTCTTCAGAGGTCATTAAGAGACCCCCTCACTAGTAATTCAAGATCACGGTCTTAGTCTACGTTTATGTAACTTTAGAAATTTTCTTAGGGGAAAGTTAGAATGAAATGGAATTTTCAAATGAAATATTAGTGTTCTGGTGCAAAATAAATGCTGCATTCATCAGTTCTGTTCTTGTAAATATTCTAGGTTTAGAAACAAAAACAGACAAAGACAGGAAGGGATGCACTTGAAATGAAAAAAAAAGCGGGGAAGAGGCACTGCACTTTGGCAGGAAAATGGGCTGCTCTTGGCAGACTCTGCAGTGGAGTTTAGCTGGGAGACACAGAAGAGAAGCCCTGTGAGGGGAGCACCAGCCGTCCTCCCTCCCTCCCTCTGGCTAGGTGGGCAGCTCAGCTTGCAAACTGTTGGCTGGAAGGGAGGAGATCTTGCAGGGGTGGCGTCTGGCCTCCGCTTTGGGCTAAACAGGCCACTGGCACTGTTCAAAGAGCCCTGCCAGGTAGCTCAGCATACTGTGGTGTCCACGTGGACATGCAGGGCGTGGGACCAGAATGAGGCTCAGAAGGTCAGTTCCTACAGTTTTGTGAAAGGACAAACCGTTCAGCATTCGTGCAGCAAGAAGGAGGCAGCTGGTTTGGAATAACTCCTCACTCCCTTCTTTGTCTTGGGAAGCAGCCCTGAACTGACTGTTGCGCTTTCTAGCCAAGGGGAAGAGGAGAGACTTGTCCAGCGCCACCGCTAGAGGCCTACGGAGAAAGAAGTTTCAGAGCATCCCTTTGGTGTCGGTCCTGGACAGCAGTGACCGTGCCGTCTTTGCCTAGTCAGAAGCGATTGTGCTCCCTTCCCCTCCACAGACGCTTCCCCTCTTCCTTGCCCACTCCAGTTGCATTGGCGAATGCTGCTCAGACCTGCAATCCTTTGGTTGCCTTGTGGGAACGAAAGGCACCCCCAGCTTCCTCTGATTTCTATGCTGCCTTTTGTCTGGTTGCCAGCTCTCCCCTGCTTCTCTTTTCAGGATGGCTCCATCGCCCTGTTAAACAGAGTGCATTGTAAGGGGGAGCATTGCTTCTCTTTTTGGCCACCTTTGGGCCGAGAGCCGTCTCCGCTCTCTTTTCAAAATGGTTTCCCCTTTCATCCTATTTGAATCTTCTCTGGCCTTCAGCTGGACAATTTTGGCATCTTCAAATAATGCACCTTCCTTCACTCTCCAAAATAAAGGTTAGCAATAACACATCACAGTATTCTCAGTTAGAGCCCTTGAAAATGAAAGGAGTCGTCCATGCAGAAATGCCCCTTTTCGCTGGACAGCGTCTCCCTTAGAAAGGAGGTCAGGGACACAACTGGAGCTTTGCAGTCTTCTCCCTGTCCCTGCCACTTAACACTGAGAAGGAAGAGCCAAGGATCTCTGCTACTGGTTCCCAGCTGCTGCAGGAGAAATAAACATTTCCTCAGCCCCTTTCTCTTCTGAGGGACATGAAAGCTATTTCACCCACAAAGCCAGTCCATTTTCTTCATCCTTTTGGCCTTAGGTCGAAAGGGCCCCTGTCAGGCTCATGTCAGTGTGGTGCCAGAAGATCGGACCGAGCCTTGGTCTTAAGGAGGCTCTAGGCCAGACCTGACCAGCCTGCTAAGAAAGAAAGGGAGTCGCCGAGCAGGCCCCAGGCCAGCGGAGACGGTCAGAGGAGGAAGGGTCAGGCTGCTGCAGGGGGGGGGCGACTTCCATTTTTATCCTACGTTGGGTGGAAAAGAAAAAAGTATTAATGGGAAAATGGAGTCTCCACTAAAGATTTGTTGATGGACAGAACTGAGGGATGAGCATCCGACTTCAGCCAGTCTTTAATGGGACTGTAAGCTGAGCTGTTCCTTTTTCCAGACATACTGAAGGTGATGTGAGCGGTTAAGGCACCAGGTTAGAAAGCGGGAGACGGTGAGTTCTAGTCCCACCTTAGGCATGAAAGTTGGCTGGGCGACCTTGGGCCAGTTGTGCTCTCTTAGCCCCGCCTACCTCACAGGGTTGTTGTTGGGAGGAAAATAGGAGGAGGAAGGTGTGTTGGATATGTTCACTATCTTGACTTATTTGTAAAAATAATAAAAGCAGGAAACAAATAATGCAGATACTGTATAATACTTTGATACAGCAGGTGCTTTGATGCTCTCCTTATGCAGGTATTTGCTGAATGTAACAACTATAGTGGTAGGTCATAATAAACACAATAAGTTCATTCTGTGCTGATTCCTTGTTTCTTTCCATGTTTTGCAGGTTCGTGTCTGGCACAGGGCTGGTGCTTTACCCAGAAATTGGGGACAAGCTGGATATAATCTGTCCGAAGGGAGAGCCATCCAAACCCTATGAATATTACAAGTTATACCTGGTGAAACGGGACCAAGCAGAGTCCTGCAGCACCGTCATGGACCCTAACGTGTTGGTGACCTGCAACAGGCCTGAGCTGGAAATCCGTTTTACCATCAAATTTCAGGAGTTCAGCCCCAACTATATGGGCTTGGAATTCAAAAGACACCAGGATTACTTTATCACATGTGAGTGCCCCATCATCTCCCTCTTCCCTCAGTGTTAGCTTTCTCTTGCAGACTCCTGTGAAGAGTATCAGTTTCTCTCCCTCCCTCCCTTCTCCCCCCCCATTTCCACCCAGGGAACCTCTTTCCACTAGGAAGTACACTGTATTGTTCAGTTGCAGTTTGTTAGGTGCTGTGTGGAGCCATCTTGTTACTCATGCCTGTTTTGAAAAATTCTGAATTTAAAGCAGCTGCTGTGCTGGACGCACAAGGGGAAGGATAAATGTTCCTCGGCTGCCTGATTCTCCGCAGGCGAGCCCAGAGTGTTGCTGCCCTAACGTTTGCCTGGGCAGATGTCACATCCAAGAGCAGGAGCCAGTTTTAGGTCTGGAAAAGGGTTCTGGATTAAAGCCTCGGGAAACAGTCTGAAGGGAGACAGGAACCAAAGTCAGGAGTCTGTTTGCTGAGTGCTGGGAGCGTTTCTGATGATTTTGATCCAGAAATTGAAACCAAAGCAAGCTCCTGGTTAGAAGTCCGCATCAGTGGTGATTGCTTCGATGACCCTTACTTTGTACTGGAATTGAATCTTTGTTTCTTCCAAGCTTCATCCTGCTTTCACTGTAGCTACAGAGCATTTGTGGTCTTCGGAAGAATCCAGCAGTTCCCTTGGCTTGTTGATTTTGAAATTTCTTGGAAGGGCATTTTTTAGTCTGGGAGGTGCTAGACTACAGAGCCGTTTTGGTGGAAAAACAGCCCAGAGATTTCAGAGGAGCTGGCGTGGGAGATACTGCTTGTTCCTCCTTTGGGGCACCTGGTCAATGTATCTCCAGGGCAACAAACCTGTCTGGGACCAGCTAGTAGTGTGGTTTTTGTTTTTTTAGCTTCACAGCAGTCTCTCCCCTCCATTCCCCCAGAGGTTGCCCCCTTCCCTATCTTTCCCACATCAAGGGTGTTTTGTGGAAATGACTTTGGAAGACAGAAGGAAGAGCTGCAGTGTGTACCGTCCACAGAGGGGGGGGGGCGAGGGGAGTCTTTCAGGAGGACCCTTCCTGGTTTTCCAGGGAGTAAAATGGAGGAGGGGGAGAAACACTTCCAGTCTCACAAGATTTTGTTAATGTTAGAATAAAGATTTAGTATTCATAGTTCTGCTTCTTGCCTGGACTACCTCAAAGGGATAACATAATTTGAGGGACCTCTTTTAATTTGGGAGTATCATATGGGCAGTAGAAGAGTCACAGAATATGTCCCCTACTTGGAAAGGACACGCTCTGCCTCTGTCTGTCTGCAAAGAACTTTCTCTTCTGCTCTGATTGTGGGAGAGGCGTGGACGATCCCTTGGCTGGCTGTGCTGCTCGGCCCATCCCAATTTTGCTTCCAATTAGCAGCATTTTCACAGCCAAAGTATTAGCTTCTTTTATGAGCGCCTGGTCGTGGCTTCAGAGGAGAACATGCACTCGCTTAAATTAGGGGAAAAATTAAGAAGTCACCGTGGAATGACTCCATTTTGTTAGATGCAAGAACTGCTGTGTTCAGAAAGCGCACATTCACCTATGGGAGGTGGGTTAACAAAATGTTGCAGTTTCTGACAATTTAATTAGGATTTCAGTGGAAGCAAAGGGTACACTATTATCATTAGAATAACAGTAACAAGTACTAGCTCAGTCTACAGGGTAGGTAGGTAAATTGATCTTCTGAGCAGGAAAGCAGCCTTTCTCTCCGAATGTTCTCTTGCTGGCTCCTGACTTCTCTTTCTAACGTAGCATTTGTATTATTTGTCAAATGCTGAAGGGCATCGTTGATAGGGGATGCAGTCTGAAAACCCTCCTCTGGCTGACTTCAGGAGATCCCCTAATGATGTGGCAAAATGGATTCTTTTCGGCTCGTCTTTGTTCAGCCCTTGGCACCGAGGAGGGCCTCTTCACAGGACAGGCAACCTCCGGCCCAGCTATCCTTCCTCCCAGTGAACTTCTCTCATTTCACTGATTTGGGGAAGGAATCCTTTGGCTTCTGCTACATCTGCTTTGTATATAGCCACGGAGGACACACGGAATGCTTCCAGCTGGGGCCTGGATGCCAACAGGCTTTCTTTCCTATTGTTTTCTGGGCCTGCCCTGCCTAGATGGTTCCAGAATACCAGTGTGGCTTTGGGCTTCTTTCCTTCGTTTCCACCCTCCACTGAGTGGACATATGTTGATGCACTCGTTTGGCCTTAATTTCTCTTTGGAGAGTTCAAAATGGCAGGAGAGCGAAGAATGACCACGGACAACTTGGAGATAAATGACAGACTCGGACCAGAATTTCCTTCCAGGCTGTCCCTTAGTCCCGCTGTGAACTTAAAGGGTGTGAGGGAATTGAAAGCAGATGCTTGTTTGGCCCTGCCCTTTCAGCAGGGGGTTCCACCAGCTCTTCTGATTCAGAGACCTGTGTTTTTCCACTGCATGAAGTCTTCAGTTCTCGGCCTCTAAAAGGACCAATTCCTTTGCTGCTTAAAAGAGCTTCCAGAATAGCAGAGGAGTCACTGAGGCACATGAGTGGAGAACAGAGCAACAGGTTGGGGGGGGGACCAGAAAGGGGGAAGATGAGTGGTGAGCCCTGCTCTAGTCTGCTGGAGCTGGTCATCAATTCGTAGGGAAGGGAATAGGTTATTTAACAGATTTAATATTAATGCTCAGATTTTGTATTTCTCCTTTGATAGGCAGCAGTTTCCAAGACTTTCCTGAACTGGGCTTTGATGGCTTGAAGGCTCAGGTCAAGTAAGATGAGAATGTTTTGATTGGGGTGGGGCAGCAGCACTAGGGTACCTATTCCAGATGATCTTAAGATTATGAAGCATAAGGGTTGGAAGAATCCTTGCAGGTAATCCACCCTGACTCCCAGCTCAGTGCAAGGACCTTAGTAGAACATCATCAAAAATGTCCATCCAGCCTCGGTTTCAATGTCTGCAGCAAAGGCAGATCTGCATCTTCTGAGGCAGTTTCTTCTGTTGAGAGTTCATGCTGTTAGGATTTTTTTCCTGGTGTCCAGGCGAAAACATGTTCTAGAAATCTAAATTCATTTGGTTTTATTCCCCCCCCCCTTCGGATACAATTTTGGACAATTCTGCTTATGCTTTTACATGTCAGCTCCTCAGATGCTTGAAGACAATTGTCCTGTGTTCCCACATTACACACTTCTCCATGCTACATGGATAGAACACATATAACGCCTTATTCCTTATATGTTTTTCCTTCCTTAATTGTCTGGGTTCCTTTTTTCTGGACATGATCCAGATGTCAGGGCCCTTAAAATGAGGTGTCCATAATGGAATACAATAGATGAACTGTGCTCTGACTAAAGCAGACTAGATAGAACCAAGGATTTATCTTGATCTCAATAGAGTTAGTCTTCGAAATATGACTGTTCACTTAATGGCCAAAGTTATAACATCCCCCCCCCAAAAAAACCCTATATACAACCATGTTTCAAAATTACGTGTCAGGCATAAGAAACCAGGAACCACGGTTATTCAAATGAATACAACTTTATTCTACGCTGTCACTCGGCAAAAATTTAAATTAGTAATGCTCAAAGCAAATTGGCAGGAGATGAGAGTCAGTGAAATTCAAGTCGGGCTGGACTTCGATCTCTTGTGGGCAGGAAGAGACTGGAGGCAGGTGATGCTCACGACGGGCTCAGCCTGGTCGTCTCCTACATCCTGGCTGCTGCAGCGCCCCTGTTTCCCCAGAGCCTGGCAAGAGCTTGAGGAGGATCAGGGCAGAGGCCCAGCCCACAAGCGTGGCTTCCTCCTCCTTCGGCAAAAGGCCCCCCGTGGATGGATGGCCAAGCTTCCTCCCTGGCGTTTGGGGCTTCTCTCGGCCAAGCACGGCGACTTCTTTGGAAGCTGCTCCGAACGTGGCTGGCGCTGGGCCCGAATCCGGCTGGGCTCTTTTCCCCTGCTGGGGAGGGGCAAGACAAGCTTTTGGCTGCTTGTCCGCCTCCTTTACAGGCCCGGCTAGGTGGAGGGCCTCCCAGGCCTCCCCCCCCCATGTTCCACTGAGTGACCCGCGTGTTCATTTAATGGCCACATTACGGAGAGCAGGGGTGGGTATCATTAAGTGAGGCTGTCTCACTGAACGGCCATCGTCGTAATGGACAGGCTCCATTATGGTTGTGGGTCAAGGACTGCCTGTACTACATTTTAGCTGATGTGTTTCAGTTTTTTGCAACTGCATCCCACTTTTGGGGGGGGGGTCGAGGATAACTTGCCACCGGACAACTCGCCTCAGGACAATTCAGTGCTATACTAATTGTTTCATTCAGTTACTTTTATTATTGGTGACCACGGTTTTGTTGATGTTATTGTAACTCTTGTATTTCTGGATTGACTTTCTTTATGTGATTATTATTGGCCATGGTTCCATTGAAAGTAATTTAACTTTTTTATTGGTTGAATTGTCCGGCGGCAAGTTGGCTACGGTGAGTTGTCCCATTCCGGACTGTTGCTTCCTCTTCACTTGTGATCCTCCAAGGCCTCCGATTCCTTTCCTGGGAACAGCTGCATTCTCTCGACAAGATTAGTCTCCAGTCCGGAGGGGCGTCTCTAGCCTTACCCATGCAGCTGAAATACAAATGCCAGGCGCCTCAACCACCTTTGGCCAACGCCAAGAGTTTCTTGGTTGAGCAAGCTGGAGAATCACGGGCTCTCCAGCTCTGTCCAGAGACACAGGTGTTCTCCATGGCATTTTACCAGCTAGGGCAGTGGTTCTCAACCTATGGGTCGCGACCCCATTTGGGGTCGATCGACCATTTCACGGGAGTCGCCAAGCAAGGCTGTCTGCCCTTTTTTCCCCCTTTTCCGGTGGGTGCCTTGCCTCCCTCGGGCTGGGCCAGCTGGTGGCCCAGCCGGTGGTCGGCCTGCTCCGTCTCTGCCGCTTGCCAGCTACGCCTCGGCCGGCGCAGGGGGCGGCACCACGCATGCGCGGCGCTCCCGGGCAGGGAAAGTCCTCGACTTACGACCGGTTTAGTCCTTGACTTACGACCGGTTG